TATTCAACTATTATTTATCGACTGTGGCTTCTACTTTCTTTCTTTCTAACCATCTATCTTTTTATCTTTCTATCCATGAAAATTAAGTTTATGAAATACGTCCTATTATATAATTGAGTAGCAACGTAACAAGCATGCATGTGGTGCCAAACCATTTTTTACAGAAAAAGAACAAAAGAGAACTACATTTCCTTACCACGTAGATAGAAGTTGTTTCTTTCCTCTTATCTTTAGCGTAGTCATACCACTACAACAAAAACTAGCTTTTGCAACCAAAATTTTTACCACTAGGCCTGTTGGAGTCCCATTTGCGTGCTGCAGAGTTAACCCCGGTGCTTGGATTAACTGTAGGAAATTGTGGCCTAATGGTATTATTTCTCCACTTCCATCTTTTAGCTTCATTGGAGGACTCTTCCAATTTTGCAATTTGGAAGGCATCTAAAAGAGTTTGAGGATGCATCATTGTAACTATTGGGGGCAACTCGTCTTCAAGCCCACTGATAAAACTAGAAATGAAATAATCTTCTGATAAAGCTGGATTGTATCTCAACATTTGGGATTTCAGATCTCCGAACTTCTCCTAATAATCCACCAAGGATCCTCGCTGTCTGCGCTTGTTAAATTCACCTACAATCCTACCTTGAGTCCAATCGCTAAAACGAGCACAAAGCGCAGTCACAAAATCACTCCAAACAAGCTCCCGACGGGTAGAAACCCAACCTTCATACCATCTTTCTTCCTTACGATCAAAATAGATTGCCGCCATTCCCACCCACTAGTCAGCTGGTATAGTATAGATCTCAAAAATCTTTTCACATTTCCTGGTCCAATCCCTAGGGTTCTCGCCGTTAAAAGAGGAAAATTTGAGACGAGGAAGCTGCACCTGATTATTGTGACCGCGAGGAAGTGGAGGCGGAGGAAGTGGATTCTCGTCCAGATCTGCAACCCGGTTTCTCAAGATCTTCCTCCGCGGTGGCGGTTGCAACTCCGTCGCAGCAGCTCCCAAATCCGGCAGAGGAAGAATGCTACGATCATTGCGCCGGTCTCTCGCAGCCACCGCCTTACCAGCCACAACGATCTCAGGCTGTGGTCTGCCAATCTGATCAAGACGGCGAAGCACCTCCTCAAAATGCTGATCAAAATGGTGCTCGAGGTCGTCAAAGCGGTGATCCATGCCATCGAAACGCCGATCCATCCCACCGACTCTGGTGGTGTGAGTCGCGAACTGTAGTGAATGGCCATCGGCTTTGGTTGATAATTCCTGCAACTGATTTTCACTCTGCGTCTGACGGTGGCGGAGTACCTCCACCTGCTCCTCCGAATTAGCGATATGCAGAACGACATCACTCCGAAGTTGCTGCAAGCTGGTGTCCAAAGCGTCTACGCGATTGCTGACGGTGGAAATACGTTCGTCAATCAGAACGATACGAGTTGAGGCCGCCAAAGGTGTCGAGTGTAGGCTGTGATACCAATTTGTTAAGCCTGGACCTAGAACTCGACTGAATTTGGGACGATAAGAGAAGAAGAAAAGAAGAACAGGAGAGAGAAGGGAAAGTAAGAGAGAGAGGGAGAATGAGACAGAAATTTTGTTGTGTTATTTCTCAATGCCGTTACCAGCTCTCTATCGTCTCTTTTATAGTCAATGGACAGTTACAATAAAATCCCGCAACTACTAATTGATTGTAATTGAGGACGATTGTTACATCTTCCCTAAAATAATTGATTCTAGCTCTCTCTTGATACAACGTAATTAACCTTAGTCCGCAGTTTAAATAGCAATAATCCACCGTAATAGTTGTAATTTTCCTCCTGTATCATGCATGTAAACAACATGTATCATATCATATGATGGCGTGACAGTAATAGTTGTAATTATCATATGATTCCATATTAGTAAAGTACTTTGTATGAATTTTTAGCATACAAAATTCTTTTATTATGATGCTAGTTTGTTCCATTTCTCTTATATAGAATAAATTGAACATGACACTCTATATGAAACGCCAAAGTTAGCAGGGCAACAAAGTCTATGCTTCTTCTTCTTTGAAACAATCTACCCAACCTATTGTTTCAAAGACATTCAAGGTTGTCCAAACAGTGGACCTTCAAAAGTTGTACTTAATGATCCAAATGAGAAGAAGAAGAAGAAAACTAGTGGCTTGCCTACTTCTTGGAACCAGTCTGGACAACCTAATATTTCAAAAAGCTCAAGTCTCATGCCAACGACATACCTCCAGGAGAAGACATTCTTAATGAATTCGAGGTAGAAAAAGATAGGATGTTTTCTTCGTCTGAGAATGAAAATCCAAATCATCAAAAGAAGAATAACACTAGAGGCATGAGACTTGAGCTTATATCACATAGAAACACAAACTTGACTAAATCAAAGACTACTAATTCTCTGTAAAAACAAAAACTTGACTAAATAACATAGAAACGACCACTGTGACTCTGGCCTATATCATAAAAATCTTGTCAATATTGTGCTGAAAAGAAATGCTCACAGCAATGTCTCTAAATATAAAAATACCCAGTCATCTTTGTATGTTCTTACTATAATCGTCAAGGTCATATTACTAAATTCAGTTATGATTTGATAGGACCAAAAAGGTCACCTACATCCAAATCCTTTTGGGTACCGAAGTGTGCTAACTCTTAATTGATTGCAGAATGTGGGAGAAAGTGAAAATCTCTGGTACCTGGACAGTGGTTGCTCCCACCATATGACAGGTGGCAAGGAACTTTTCTGAACCTTTTCTTATAAGAAAGGAGGTAAAGTAGTCTTCGGTGATGATAGAGTAGGTATAATTCTTGGAACGGTACAGAGTGGTGTCTGTAGGCTCTTCATGCAAAATTATCATAATTTGTGATGATAAACTGTTGTTCACTGGATCTAAAAAACATAATATGTATGTAGTTGATATGTTTAGTCTTAAAACGTTTAATGAAAACATAATTATCAGAATTCTGCTCGAGGTATTCCATCCTTGAAAGAAAACCCTAAATTTTTTCTGTGATGCGTGTGTTGGTGGAAAACTTGCTAGAAAGAGCTTTAAATCCAAGAGTGACATTACTACTACTAGAGTATATGAGTTGATTCATATGGATCTATTTGGGCCAAGTGGTAAGCCTAAGCCTCAGAGGTAAGTCCCATGCTTTTGTACTTGTTGATGACTTTTCTAGATACACTTGGGTATATTTGCTTGCATCTAAGGATGAAGCCTTTGGTAAATTCAATAAGTTTGTAGCTAGCGTGTTAAATGAATCAGAACATGGCATTAAAACATTTCGTAGTGATAACGGAGGTGAGTTTGTATCTGAACTCTTCGAAACTTTGTGTAATGACAAATGAATCAATCACACATTCTCTGCACCTATGACTCCTCAACGGAATGGTGCTGTGGAAAGAAAAAATAGGACCATTATTGAAAATGCTAGGACAATGTTGTTGGAATATAATTCTCCTAAGCCTTCACCATGTCACACAACTTGATCCCTACGAGTTTAATGTTTACAAATACGATATCATCTCTCTCATTTAAGGGCTTGGGTGGGGATTCCTCCTTCGACAACCCTTTCATCCTGCATGTCCTGGAGCTGTCAAATACTTTTACTCCAACCTTCACTCAAAAGGCATCAACTCAAGGAGTTTCACTACCGTGGTGCATGGTCATCTGCTGACCATCCCAGTTGCTGCTTTGGGAGGAATTCTTGGCTTCTCTTTTGAGGGTCTCGACATCATTCAACCTACAGAGTTATGGAAACATGAGTTTAAGCTCACCACTGAATATGGAAACTTTTCAATTGAGCCCACTGGAGGTTCAAATGTCCCCATACCTGTTAGTTGGCTGCCTCCAAGACTGAGAATCTTCCATTTATTCCTTACCCGAGTGATCCTTTCTCATTCCTTCAATCTAGAACGAGTTCTTCCTATGGATCTCTGGCTCATGTGTCGCTGCAGGTCGCAAGTTGGACTTCACTCAGATTATGTTTGGAGTTCTACTTCCTGTTGGAGATGAGCACTATCAAGGGCTTCTCCCTTTTGGCTCTACTATCACTCGTCTTTTTATAAGGCTGGGCATCAACCTCTCTAACTTTCGCAACGTATCCTCCACTGTTTACATCAGTGCCATGAATGTCCTTATGGTCTTGGACCTTCCCACTGACATTCCTCCTCCTCCTCCCTCTGCTTCACTTCTTGGCCCTCACCGCAAGGCTGCCTCTCATGCCAAGAAATCCAAGCCTCTCGAGGAATCCAACAAATTTGCCGGCCTTGTCTTCACTCTCTCTGAAGGAACCTCTTCCTTAGATAATTCTGCTGCCTCTGCTCCTTACTAAGACTCTTGTTTATGCTCAGCAGTGATTTTGTAATGTTGTCCCATAAGAGGATTTGCATCGTTTTAAGTATTTAATTTCTCTTACTAGTAGTAGACCTTTTTGTATTACTATTCTTCATAAGAACGCAACTTCTCCGGGGAACCTTTCCCTTGACTGTGTTGTTTTTGAATCGAGCTTGGGAAGTAGTTTGATAGGATTCCTTGTTGATCAGAAAGAAATCGGTGTTGGATTTCTTCTTAGGGTTTGCGGTTTTTTTCTCAAAATCTCCCAATGTAATTTTTCTCCTTTTCACTTGCATAAAAACCATTCCTCCACAAAATCACAGTGTATAAAAGTAGTTTAAGTAGAAGTAGGAAAATGAATTCCGAACAATAATATTAGTCAAACAAGAGCAAATAAACACACAAGATACGGATAGCCTTAATGGATACTGATTAATAATAAGAGAATCACAAAACATAAATATTCTTTTTTTTTAACGGTGTGGTGTAGTGTAGTGTGTAGCATCAAACATTAATTCATGGATCCGTTTCAAGAATTACAGATAACTCAAACTTGAAACTTTAACAACCCTCAAAATACCTCAATTAGCTCAAAAATGCTAAATTGATGAAATGATATCATTATACGATGTGATGTATAACGATATAGATTCCCACTAATTAAGCTTTGAACTTGTTCTTGTACTCGGCCCAAAGCTCGTGAATGCTCCTCCCAAGCAAGTGCTTAAAGTAGTTCTGCTTATACTCGAACCTCATCCTCCGATTCAGCTCCTCCACAAACCCTTCCTTCATGCTCTCGCAGTAATCCAAGAACCTCGCGGTTACTTCATACCCTTCGTCCCACCTCTCACCCTTTCCCGGGCCGGCCCAGTTACCCGGCCCGTGGCCAGACTTCAGCCTCACGAAGTCGGCGATCCCACTGACCAGGCCCGGTGGAGCCTGCCCGTTCCCGTCCCACTGCCACACGTGCGTCATCTCGTGGTATATAAGCCCGGTCATCTCCCTCGCCACGTCACCCTCGTAGTCCCCGAGGTAGGTGGCGCTGATGTGGATCACACCTGGGGTGTAGGACGAGATGCCGCCGCCGTCCATCGCGTCTATGGACAGTCTGACGTGGCTGACGGGCTTTCTGTCCTTGGTGGTATTGGCTTGGCCGAAGGTGAGCCATATGAATGACGTGGCCGAGACCATGGCCTCTCTGGCACAGACGGCGCCGATGCGATAACGGAACCTCGAGCCACCTTTGGTTGCGGGGACGTTGTTGGTGATGGAGTAGGTGACGTCGCCGTCATCGGCGTGGGTGGCGGAGAGGCTGAGTAGGAGGCTGAGGGAGAGAGTAAAAAGATAACGGCTAGGAGTAATCGTCGTCGTCGTCATTAATTATAGCTAGAGTAATTGGGTTTGATTTGTGGATTAAGATGTGTCGTGGTTTAGTGGTTTATATAGACTCTCGATAGCGAGGCATGGATTAATGAATTAAGTGCAATCAAGGTGTGGTTTTGTGTGCACGTGAATTGTAGCCATGTCTGCAAGTGGAAGCAGAGGGTTTACGTCTCAGGTAACTAATTAACCAGCTAGCTGCAAATTAGTTTCTTGGTCTCTAGCCTCTGTCTTTTCATCTCTTTTCGATTTAACCTCGCACCTTGATTTGTTTGTCCTTAATTGCATGTTTCGATTTAGTAAATACATAATAAAAAATAAGACAAAAAAAGTCAACTTCAATCCTTCTTGAGGCTTGGCGCTACGTCATTTTGGTGGATGACATTGTTGGGAATATCACTGTAGTTCCCTTTCTAGTAATGTTGGCAGAAACGAACGGGTGGATGAATCGTTATAGCAAGCGGTTCGCACTTTATTGGTTTAACCGATATTTAGCAGTTATAAGCCCGTTAACGAATCTGTGTCTAATAAATGAAATTATTATAAATAGAAATCATGAATATTATTATAATTATATATTGACTCTATTATATTCCTAACAAAAATAATATATGGCAAGTAAATATTTATATTTACATAAATATAAATTATTTAAGTATAATATGTGTGATTTTTCAAAAGTTATAAACATTATTTAATATTTTTTTTCAAAACTAAACACTTTCTAATTAATTAATAATAGGGCATTGTTAATACTAAAAATTAACCAAAAGTTTTATAATGCAGAAAAAGTATGCCAATTTTACGTTATTGTTAAAATTTATGTAAGTCTTCTCTTAGTTATAATACTAAAATTTTGGAATCTTAACATCTATGTCGCTCTTCCAAATCAGTATCATGTTGTCAAGTCAATATTACTAACAAATTTGCTAAGTGGAAGTTAACATTTGATTAATTATTAGTCAAACAATAAGTTTGACTAATAAAAAAGAATATGTAAACGATTTGGCTAATAAATTATCATTACCCTAAATAATAAGATTTGTTAGCTTTACAACACAAACAAGTTGCCGCCCCATTAGACCTGGCAAATTATAACTCCACCCGTTGACCCGACGCGAAACCGCCAAAAACTAGAGATTTTTGTGGCCCGAAATCCGAATGATCTGAACCCGATAACCCGTGATTTTTTGGGTCGGGTTGAGTGACTCGCTCCTACCGTCACTCTAGAAAATGGCCAAGTGTAACCACCTCCTAAAGCGTAGTATAGCGGGTTTGGGTTTAATGTCAACCCGGGTCCTAAGTGTGATGACTACTCCATGAGTTCTCGTTATTTAGCGGTGAAACTTTAGTGAAGGTCCAAACAAGCAAACAAGCAAAGCAAGTAAAAAGGGTTGTTTTCAAGTCGAGAGAGGTCACCCGGATATGGTTCCCCCTAGACTGCAGTTAAGCCGGATTGTAATTTACCAAGTTCAAGTTCAAAGATAGTTATACTACGGGTGGTTCTTAAACAGTCTCCAGTCTCGACTAAAGGTCGCCAGACCCTTTCAATCTGAGTCCCCAACGGGTGACTAACCTCCACTAGGGTAAACAGATTGAGGCCCTAACGAACCAAACCTCCACTACCGAAGTAAATTCGGTACTGAAAAGTGAATTGACTCCTCGACTAAAGTCACCAATTCACTACCTTCAATCAAGGGTGCTCTATCAACCTAGGCAGATATTCTCTTTCTAGGTTAAAGCAGAAACAACAGGAATTTGATCACGATTCATGCCATTCAACAAATCAAACCTCAACTGAACATAATCATCCACTGAATCTGTACTTGGGTTCATACAATCAGACCTAACATACAAATCTAGGGTTCTTCATACCCAGGTGAATAAGAGAGTTACTCCATAGAGAGAGGTGGGAAATCTAGCTCAAATGCAGAAACCATACTGTGAAGGATGAGAATCTGCTTCTGGTACTCAATCAGCTCTTCTCCAAGCTCAAGCCAGGCTCCAATGGTGATGGAGATCGATTTAAGGCACTTGAAGAATCATGTTCGTCACTTTCTCTCTCTAGGTATCGCTTTGTCTATAAAACTCGGAACCCTTCACTTTTGCCCTTATTTTCCCTTAAGGTGCTGTCTGTCGCGATCCCTGGCCTGAATACCCGGTCGGGTATTTTGGGTGGCAATGAGTATATTCAAAACGAACCAAACCTCCACTACCGAAGTAAATTCGGTACTGAAAAGTGAATTGACTCCTCGACTAAAGTCACCAATTCACTACCTTCAATCAAGGGTGCTCTATCAACCTAGGCAGATATTCTCTTTCTAGGTTAAAGCAGAAACAACAGGAATTTGATCAGGATTCATGTCATTCAACAAATCAAACCTCAACTGAACATAATCATACCACTGAATCTGTACTTGGGTTCATACAATCAGACCTAACATACAAATCTAGGGTTCTTCATACCCAGGTGAATAAGAGAGTTACTCCATAGAGAGAGGTGGGAAATCTAGCTCAACTGCGGAAACCATACTGTGAAGGATGAGAATCTACTTCTGGTACTCAATCAGCTCTTCTCCAAGCTCAAGCCAGGCTCCAATGGTGATGGAGATCGATTTAAGGCACTTGAAGAATCAGGTTCGTCACTTTCTCTCTCTAGGTATCGCTTTGTCTCTAAAACTCGGAACCCTTCACTTTTGCCCTTATTTTCCCTTAAGGTGCTGTCTGTCGCGATCCCTGGCCTGAATACCCGGTCGGGTATTTTGGGTGGCAATCGGGTATATTCAAAACGCACCGTCGGGGAACAGGGGAAAATCCCCGACCAGGGATTTAAGCCTCACGACCGGGCCCCCTTCTGCTTCTCAGATGCCCAAAACTCATTTTCCCCGGCCTGCTCCAAATAATACCCAGCCGGGTATTTCTGCTCATGGCCAGGTATTTTGCTCCTCCAGCACACTTCGACCCAAACTTGCTCCTTTCGACCAGAAACTCGTTTCTTCGCCTCGATGCCAATGCTACGCCCTGAAATATGACATAAACGCACAATCTAGCATGAAATTGGTTTAAAACATGAGAATCAACATCTCAAACGGCTCAAGAATAGGGGTAAAACTATGTGTAATCAATGGTCTATCAAATTCCCCCACACTTAACCGTTTGCTTGTCCCCAAGCAAACCTAACTCAAACCAATGCAGCTCTCCAAACCTCTATAGCAATAAACAACCCCGATTGTCGGTAGAGGATTTTCTAGATCATAAAGCAGTTTACGAGGTCAACTGGTCTTCTAAGACGTCCCCTATCTCTCTCAATGTGAGTACTAGACTCAAGCCAGGATCATGATAAGAAGTAGAAGTAAGACAGTCAGTTCATTGATAAAGGGACTCACACCATTCACAACCAAGGACTCATTGTACCGGGGTGCTCTTTCACTTCAGTTCACCGTTGGAACCCCTTTTTTGGACTTTCATTTACATTTCTCTTGTTTTTTTTTTCATTCACTTAGCGGGGGTTCCAACTGCAGTCTTTTGCACGGTCAACCCTTATTAGTCGAGCAAGAACAATTTATGTACATCTGGCGCTCGCCAGAGTACTTCTTTTAACTCCTTTTCCTCAACTCGTGTGGAGGGTCAATGAAATTAAGGTGGGTCGGAAGCTCTGTCCGTGCCCTTAAAAACACATCCTCAAGTAGGCAAACCGTTCAACGGGTGGAAGTTTTACTTGTACTAGAGACAGCTTAGCTTCACCTTGTAGCAGTACCCCACTAAGGATCACTAAAATCTCCTCCAAAACCCGATTTTGTGCAATGAACGGTGCCACACACGTTGGGCTTACCCCATCTTTAAGATTTTGATGATTTCGACATGGAGGACCAACTGCTTTTCATTTCCCACATGAGCACCCTGTTCGATACACAAGTCCATAACACAATCCAAACAGAGTCCACATTACCACATGAATTCAACGATCTTAGCTCCACTAATTCAAAAAATCAACTGGCACAACAGATAGCTAGATAGGAAAAATCTTATACTTCAAAATCCTCCATAGTGCTACACTACCTAGGTTGCACATTACTATAGAGACTGTCAATTCAAAGCATACTGAGCAGGAAATTCGCAAGGAAACACGTACTTGGAGCCCTCAAATTTAAAAATTTGGATAGTGGACTAGGCTCCAAGCACACAAAAAGATCTAATCTAATGCAGTCAAAAGAGAAACATCCCCCCCCCACACTTAAGATCGACATTGCCCTCAATGGAGAAGAGGGAAGGATAAGGGGAACGATGTTACCGGTGGGCACGGACTGCATGAGACTGGAAGGGGACCAGTCTGAGTGAAGCGGACTGTAGAGGGGACCAGTCAGGACAAAGCACAACTAAAGGGAACATAAGAACTCAAACACAATACGTTAGGTCCAATGGTCAGCCCAATAGTACATCATCCAAAAGAAAAATAAATAGAAAGAAAATAAACCGACACATAAGACAGTTTGCACTCTAACAGAAACAAAAACACCCAAAACGGGGCCACGAGTACTGCCTACTCGAGCCCGGTGAAGTCGATCTGGTCCATGAGATTGTCGCCCCCATCTGGCGGTGGTGGTGGTGGTGGTGAGTGGTCCCACCGGGTGGTCCAGTGGTGCTCCTCTGGAGGGTGATAAGACTGGAGCAGGTGCTCCTTGTACTCCATCAACCGGTGGCCACGATCCCGCTCCCGCTCGATGAGAGCACCAGTGACTCCCTTCTGGGTCTCCATCCGGTCGAGGCGCTCGTCTACGACCGTCAGCCTGGATTGGTACTCGGCCTGGTGGGCCGAATACAGCTGGTAGAACTGGACCTGATGGTCCATGAGCTGCTGGTTGTGAAGTCCGAGCTGCTTGAACTGCACCGTAAAGAAGTCCATCGACGGGCCAGAAGCCATCGACGAACCAGAAGGACCGGAGGAGGACTCACCTCTCTCTGGTCTTCGTCGTGGCTGAAGGTCCCCTAGTGGAGAG